TTTTTACAAACGGCGCCCCATAGTCCGGTTGTGTAGACATCTTCGTTATTATTCCCACGCTAATAACCTACGTACCAAGTCACACGGACGAGCTACGATTACTCATTGCTTAGTAAATTAAGTCATGGTTTTCAAATTTGGATTTGTTATTTGAAATAAGGCTTCTTGTTGTCTCAAATCAGAGATTGAATTAACTATTATCTGCCGGACATCAAATAATCGATTACTGATTTGAAATTGTCAAGCGGCTCGTAAACGTGTAATTTGAAATCAGGATTTATTATATCAAAATAAACATAAAAGAATCATTTGAAATTAGGATTTATCATATCAAGTTCATAACGTGTGATAACGCATCATAACGTTAGGAGCTTTCCTCCCGGGTGTAATCAGGTAATTAAATGCATATAAGCCTTAAACATTCTGATAACAGCCAGCTTTCTACAACAGCCAAACAATGCTGCTGCCAAGCTAGTGGCAGTTGTAGTGCGGTTTGACTCTACAGCTTGTTTATTCTAGTGTGTTCAATTTTTATTCATTCATTCATTCAGTCAGTCAGTCAGTAAGTCAGTCGGTCAGTCGGTCGGTCGGTCGCTCGGTCGGTCGGTCGGTCAGTCAGTCATTTATTTATTTAGTTAGTTATTTATTTAGTTAGTTATTTATTTTATTTTTATTCATTTATTTATTTATTTATTTGTTATTTATTTGTTATAATAACTTTTTTTTTGGAACCAACAACGCTATCAAAAGACGAAACACGTATATTACGAACTTTATCAAAGGTAAGAACTGATCTCGTTTTCAGATCTCTAACCTCTTGCCACCAAATCCCCCTCCCCCCTACTCATGATGTAATAGCCTTCGTGCAGCTATCCCTCCCCCACAAGGAAAAACGAGAGGGAGCTAGAGGGAAGGTTAATGAAGTAGCATACGTCAAACTATGAAGAAGCCAGAAAATATAAAACCAATTCCTTCGTGTCTAACAAAATATAGCTAACTGAATCACATATCTAAAGTCATCTTATTCTAAAAATAAGCCAATCATTTCAAGTTTACGTAGAAGTGTATTTTTCCCTTTTTAACTTGGAAATATTTATCACTAGTTTTCAAGTTGTGGTCGTGGAACGATTTCACTCCATCATTCCTTCTTTTCTTCACTCCTTCACTTCCTGTTAGACATTTGGAAACCCGTGGGGAAACTCCCATATGAAAAGGTAAGGGATGCTCGTCGAAAAGTTTGGATTTGACTCCTGAGGGAGACTGATGTAGACGTTGCTCGAGCTTCATTAGACCCTTAAAATATACCACTTAAAACGGAATAGGTTCGATTACTAGCCACTGTTCAAGAACGGATCCCGCGCGCACTTGTAGACACGACTCGCGTACTCGAGAGATCAGCGGAAATCAAACCTGAAAACAAAAATTAAATGAAAGGGTTTCTTTATTCGAATACACCCTAAAGGATACTTCGACAGCTAAAAACGGTGACACTTCGTCATCAACACTCTAAGTGAGACCAGAATCCTTGGTTTGTAGACAAACAAAGACTGCAAGGCTGATACTACGTGAAAAACGTTTCGAGACACCAACATGACAAGTGGACAGCTGTTTCGCCCTTCTTGGGGCTCGTCAGCACCGTGTAGCGAAGATATGTAACGCCAGCCTGGGTCATTTTGCAATTTATGAGCGTTGGGCTGGCGTTACATATCTTCGCTACACAGTGCTGACGAGCCCCAAGAAGGGCGAAACAGCTGTCCACTGTTGCGATCCTACTTTATCGGTTCTTG